CCCCCCCCCCCCCCCCCCCGACTTTGGCGAATTTGGCTTTAGAGCGACAAATCAGCCCTCCAGGAACAATGCTTCTCGTCATCCCACGAAATCATTCCTCATCACACGCATGATTTGTCACGGGCCATTATCGTCAAGTATAGGAAGAAGTCGGGATAATGAAATACTTTCAGAAAAAGGATGATTCAATTAGAACGATTGCGTCACCGTAAGTGCCATATTTCGATCGTACAGGAATGGTAGTAACAAGCCGCAGTGTAAATTTGGGCGAACCCCAAGCGGAAAGAAGCAGAACTGTTCAATTCGAGCCACGACACCGGTCAAAACCACATAGAAATGGGTTGCTCTGAAAGAATTTTTGACTACATTGCATTGTCAACAATGAATAGCACGTTCTCTGTCAGAAAAATAAAGCAAACATCAGTACAAATTGACTTTTGCAAGATGTCGATTTAGTGAGACTAGAATTCTGAACAATAGGAAAGGAAAAAGTAGAAAGGGAAAGTTCTTGAGAGTATTTTAAACGGCAAGCAGGACAAAGGAGTGTGTGGTCCCCAAACGCTAGGGGCTAAGGTTCTCGAAGTGTCGTCCCCAAACAGTAGCGGTTATGGTCCTCGAAGAAAAATCTTTGCTGATAACAAGGGGCCAAGAAATAAAATTACTGCTCGAAAAAGGGAATGAGTATGAGTAATGAAGCTCTAAAGAGGTTTCGAGGGAACACTGAGACAATGGAAATGACTTCTTTGCCTTCATCGGGACTGAACGCTCGACGTCAGGGAAGGAGGAAGTGGGGAGGACGAATAGAGTACATAGGCCGGTTAATCCGAGATAGTAAGAAGAGTCGGCAAAAAGTTATCGACTAGACGAGTAGCAGTGTTGACTGAGTTGATGGTCTTTCAGATTGTGTACAGAAACCCTCACGAGACTGGAAGCCTTATCACTTATCACAGGGTGGTATGGGAGTCCTTGGTAGAGCTCGAAAGAAAACATCTGCCGCATCTTCTTTAAACCTAGCTTAAGAAATCCCCTCACCCATCTCACAAAATCGGTAACGGAAGCGAGGGAGGGAGAATTTGAAGGAGAAGAACCAATGAGATTCCCTTCCCAAGCCCTGCATAGCAGAATCGCCTCCTGGCATCATTTGTAAAGCAGGAGCTCTAACCTAATTGGTAGTTTCGAGCTTTGTTGAGGAGCAACATGTTGCTAATGAGGCACTGGAGCGGCATTCAACTCAATGGGCGGCGTTCACCCTCAGTGAATCCCAGACTGGGATCGACCTATTGCTATTTACATTGTTCTATTGGGCAAAGACAATTACTTGGTATTGCTAAAGTAATGTTGACTGGCCAAAATGTTTCAGCCCCGGGAGGCTTACCGACTTACTTTCATGGGCAATGCATCATAAAGAAAAAAAGCTAAACAAATGTAATAATTTAGATTGATGACGATTTTATGCAACTTTTTGGGCCCTGGAAAATGCGAAACATCTCCCCGCTTCCCTATCATGTGGGATTCTTTCAGGCATTTCCCACAAAACCTCTACACTGACGGCATTAATTCTGAACAGCTGTGCAATTTCCGAACCAATCTATCATGTGGAAGGTGGTTTGGCCTCAAAAAGCCCGTAAAAAAGGGGGAATGCTCCTTAAAGACGGAACACATGCCATTCATTCTCCACAACAACTATTTTTTCAAGCATTCAAGACGACATTAAGTAGAACAGAATGAACCATATCAATCTTGAAGTAGGCTTGATGAGCTAACATTCCTTGCAGGAGAACGGGTCCTTGGAGGGTACGCAACCTCTGGGACGTCGTGAAACAGACAAATATCAGATATCCTTTCGCTGTTACAACAGCGATTCGAAGACTAAACTCTAGTAGAAGCGGGTAGTAGCGAACAAAACGGACTGATAACGTCTCGTCAGCCTTCCCTACCGTACAGGGCATATTTAAACGAATACAAGCAAATAAGAATGTTATGAGGAAGTTTTCCTTGAGGAGCACTTATAGAGTATGATCAAAGCTTAAAATAAAAGAAATTGATCGGAACAGCCTGAAGGTGTTGCAGGGATATCGCATTTCGTAGCGAAAATCTCACATCCAATGTCCCTTCCCCCCGCCTACGCTTAAACCACGCCCTGGCCCCGCCCCACTCCCGAACACTACGTACGTATACATTGTGATCTCCCACCAAAACTTTTTGGAGAATGGCGACCGTCATGAAATTGAAGGAAAGCTGGAAATTAGCTGTGACATGGGATAAAATGGATCAGCCTACAAGCCACAATTTCAATACAAAGCATGAGGTGTTGTTCGTCCTGTGGCGAATGGGTGGTGGATGAAGGTAGCTGGAGGATAAGCTAAAATGATATATTATACCGGATCAAAGGGCGTGGATGAAGTAATAAAAATCCAAGAAGGGTTATTTATTATATTTGTTGATGGCATGGCTGTAGAACCATGTGAAAGGAAAACACACAATGGAAGAGAATCGGCAAAACAACCCAATTTCTCCGGAACGCGCTATGTACCCGCCAAGATCGAATTGCAACGGGAAAGTATGGATTTGGCTTGGCTTATGCATTAATTCTGGTAGAGTAGCCCCTGTAAAGGTGCCCCTTCATATTTCTAAACAGGCTTGGCACCAATTATCCATCTTTAAAATAATAGAAAGCAGAGAAGACAAGATTCGGAACAAGTCGGAAGCTAGTCAGTCAGCTTGTTGTAGGAAGTTGTCGTTCTCTATTTTCTTTGCCAGCAACCAGGAGAGGGTATAAAAAATGGGAAAAGCACTTTAAGTGAAACGAATGCTAACAGTATTTCTCATTCCCACTTACGTCAGCCGTTAAGTGGTAGTGGAGGGAGAAGTGGATGGATATCCAGCAAGTCACATCTCTGTTTATTCTCACATCTGATATTCTATTCTATTGAAATCACTTTCAATGAACTATTGTTCACTATCGGTGGAGGCAAAGGAGCCGTAACGAGAGCAACAGATGAATTGCCTTCAATGAATATACCTAACTTGGGGTAAGCTCCTGGAATTGGACCGGAGCCGTTGATCGGAGCACCCGATTTAAATGGGAAGAAAATTCGGTCACTTGAAGTTTTCCTTAACCCTGAAGTTGCCATTGCCTACAGTAGAAACGTTCGTTAAGCCTCAACATTCTTGTTATTCTGAAGATAAATTCATATATTCGNTATCGGTGGAGGCAAAGGAGCCGTAACGAGAGCAACAGATGAATTGCCTTTAATGAATATACCTAACTTGGTGTAAGCTCCTGGAATTGGGCCCCAGCCGTTCATCGGAGCACCCGATTTAAATGGGAAGAAAATTCGGTCACTTGAAGTTTTCCTTAACCCTGAAGTTGCCATCGTCTACAGTAGAAACGTTCTTCAAGCCTCCTCTTTCTTGTTATTCTGATGAGGAATTTATATATTGGCTAAATGGGATGACGTAGGATGCCTTCGATACAATTAGCAGATATTGAAAAGATGTGTTTACAACTTCTTTACGCTTCCCACGCCATCTCCACGGATTAAGTCAAACTCGTGAATTTTCCCCAGGGGAACAAGCTTGATGAGACTTTCTGTCATTAAGTTCGTGAACTAAGTCACTTCCTAAAAGTAAACTTAGTATGACCTTCTAGGACAATGCAAGCTGGGCATGAGAAACAGAAAAGTAATGGCTTTCTACGATCCTCTCAACTTGCACAACTGGAAGATGTCTGCCTCAAAAACTCCTCTGAATAACCAACGAGAAAAAGGGGAAGAAGCCATTCCTCCCTTCGACCAGGAGGAAAGACTTCCTTTTCCTTCTTGGCGAATTATTCAAATTCGGTTTTTCATCAACAACAAACCACTACGAGCAGTAGCATAAGAAACGACCAACCTTCCGTCATAGGTGTTGACTTCAGAATGAATTAGTAGCAGAAGAAAAGAGTTCCTCGTGAAACATGCACGTAAACGTGGGCTAAGAAACCAAAGAACAAATTTTCCCATGAATCTGAATGACCACGAAGGTCGTTTGTTCCGCTTAGAATTACCACAAATCAAAGAGCACTGTTCACAGAGCAGCTGCGCTCGAGCTTGGGCATCGTTTGCGGAATGATTGAGGTCTTCTAGCATTTCCGCTATATCTAATGACCCGAAATCACAGTGGGTGGAATAAATGGCCAGAATGAGTCAACAGGAGCTGAAAATGAAATCTTCCACCAAAAAGCAGGTCCCTTATTTGTCGAAAGTCAAAAAAATACACAGTTAGGTAAAGGAGCGAGATTCTCGTGGATAGAGTTTCACTCACTTTACACTTGTCCCCGCCAACGCTCTCCCACTATCTCCTTTTATTTATTCTGTAAATGATATTCCTCTAAAACGTTCAAAAAAAGGATCTCGTAGGGAATATATGGTATTCTGGTCTAGCTAGGGACTTACTTGTTCAAAAATTTCCTCCCAACTCTGTCCCACCGTCTCCTTTTCAGTGGTTCCTTTGCGGCTACCCCACCGCAACCCATCTCTTCTTCCCCCGTTCTTCACCCAATACCCCATGCTCTTAACTTCATCAACAATAAACTCAGCCCAGTGGGGTAACATGGGTAACAAATGAGTTTCTAACCTACTTAGGGCATTACTTATCCATTACTAGGAAGGAAATCTATGCCAGGTGTGTCTAATCACGGCGAATAGGATATTAAGGCATAATTAGAGCGTAAATTGGACTATTAATATGAGTCGAGCAGGAAACTGCTACTAATGCCGCTTGAAGAACTTTCATGGGATGTAGGCAATTCCCATGAATAAATTAAGAGTCTCAAGGATAACTTGAGCCCCTATATGCCTACAGTATACCGTTGCTCTCTACCGGAAAACTAGAAAGTTTTTACATCCCCTTAATGTAACCTTGAAACAATCACGGTGAAGGGTGGAACAAAAACTTCGTCCCGAATCTCGAACGGGAACGATCGAAGATCAAAGCCATCACATTTGAGTTATACCCCTCCAGCCAAGCCAACCCAGTTTTGTTTGGGCTTCTTGGAGGTA